AGAAAAGCATAGCAAATATCATTAACCCCAGAAGTGACTGACATGAAACTTCTCTCTATCATGTTCATCCATTATCCAGCCCACAAGTAATGAGAGTGAACAAACTAATATTAGGTAGAGGTTGTCATCCTGACCTAACACTAAATTCTCACAACTAATTTACAAGGAAATATGTGGCAGCGAGAGGAGTAGGGGCGGATTAACAATAAGAACTTGATATTATTGAATACACAGTGGTCGATAATTTCCTTCGTGTTTCCATTTTTGATGTCCTACTGAGGGTGAATCCAGACAATTAAAAAGGAGAGAATCAAAAATTGTGCAGAGAGAACCTTGAAACCCCAACTTACTTCAGGAACATTAGAGTTAAAAACTTTCTTTGGAAAAAAAAAATTGAGAAATTTAAAAAGGGTTGATAAAGATAAAATGAGCCAGAGACAACCAAAAGGAATTAGCCTTAGATGTTGGAAAATAAAAGGGTGAGGAAGGACTCCAAATATATTCAGATGCGTTTTTCATGAATAAAGTCACTTATATTTACCTATAGCTATAGTAAACTATAAAAGCAAACAAACTAACAACAAACATACAAAAAAAAAACAAGAAAAACAAAAATGACAAACAGAAAGACAAGACAAAATAGATACTAGATACTAATCAAGAAAGCTAATTGTATACAACTTCCAAGTTTTACAAAGCTTTCATTAATAGCAATTGAAGAAGTTGTTTGTTACCATCTACTATATGGGATATGTCATATATAATATGTCAGGTGGGCTAATGGCAACATACTGTGACTATAAAAGTCATCAATTGATCTACCTAATCATGACATTACTATGCAATACCTTTTTAAATTAATAAAAAAAAAGTGATACCAAAATATATACAATTATCATGGTAAATTCCTATCTCTTGTCAGCTTGCATGCAACAAAAATTACAATCCTATGACAATTACTTTGCTCTTGTTCCTTTTCCCTACAAACATGTGAAAAATCTTTGGAAAAATATGGTACCGAGCTCAGAAAATAGACGAGCAGCGTAAAGAACTGTTTTCTTTTCTACCGCGCGCTTCTCGTTGAGTCAACAGAGTAGAATCTTTGCCATCTTCCAACTATTCTCATCTGTATTCGTCGCGCTATTAAAAAGTGTTCAGATTATATTATTACAGAGGGAAACACAAATTGAACCCTTTTATTCCTCTCTTCTTTCCTTTTTGTTTGGTTTTGTTTTTCTATAACCTTGGCGAGTAGAGAAAATGATTGGCCTCTGAATTGTACGTCTAAATTGGTGGCCTGTGTCGTCCAACCAGTCATTGTAAGTAATTATGTTTTGGATTCAAGACTGCTAGAAGACTGATGACACTGTGTTTACCTTTTGCTCAGTTATTTTTCAATCTGGGGCGGATCCAGCGGTGGTTCGGGTAATTCGGTCGAACCCCCTAAATTTTCCTTCAAAGTGCTGGAAACTATTTTTCCTGAGACCTAATTTTCAAATCTCCCAGGGGATCATGCCCTCGGACAATTCTCCGAAACCCTCTGACTAAATCCTGGATCCGCCCCAGTCAATGATAGGATATTGACACCTACTGGTTACTTTTAATTACAGAAACAAGGAGACCCCATGTATCATGAGACACTAATTGTCTTGCAGACCAAATGCATAATGGAAATGAAATCGAAATGCTGTGATGATAAGTGCTCATAAACTATATTAAATCCTTTCTCAGATAGTAAATGTTGCCTACGAGTCCCGGCCATGGAAAATGGGATCTACTTGTTAATGATAAAATGACCTTTCATACATAAGTAACCTCAGTAGTATTACCACTAGCTCCTACTTCATCTGGACAAAGCTTTTGTTGCACTGAATTGGCAGGAACCTCCAGACCAGCATCTTTCATGGCTTTAATCAATTTCTTAACTGTGCTGCCCTCCTTTTTCTCGTATGGTTCTAGAAAAATGTTGATATTAGTGGCTTGTTTGTCATCTCTCCATCCCCTTGCTTCCTCTCTCAAGCCGGGGTCATCGAGTTTGTCCAGAACAGCTTTCCAGTGTGGGTGCCCTTCAAAACAAAAGGTATGAGTAGTGTAGGTAGTCTGGTCAGCACTTCCCGCGGAGACTGGGTCCGAGTTTGGAATAAATTAAAAAAACTTGGACCCAGTCTCCCTGGGAAGTGCTGACTAGACTACCTACACTACTGGTATGTAATAGTCTGTCAATCAATCCATCAATCAATCAGTCACTGAACAAATTAATCAATCATTCAAATATTCATCGATTCATACATCTGTTGTTCATTGATTAATCTAGCTATCAGTCCTAACCAGTCAGGACTGATTCCAGGGAAATTTGATCAACCAAGTGACTAATGGTTGATTGATGAAAGCTGCAGTGATCCATATATGGTAGTAGAGCAAGAATTATGAACGAAGTTCTAATTCTATTTTTTATGCGCATGATCCATGCGGGC